TCCTTCCTTGTAGCTGTTTACTGTTTTGCTGTTGTTTTAGTTCTTTCTATGTTGTTTCGTTCTGAACTATCTTTCAGTTTGGGGAGTCAGGATCTGTGAGCCGTGTAATGTACGTACGTAGATCTTAGCTCTCCATCGATTGTGTGAAGTGAAGAATAAAAGGCCTTCGTCAGCCACAGCATGAGAGACGCTATGTTTCGTTAGGAATAATTTGTTCTGTGACCGTATTTTTTTTCTTCTTGTTTGGCCGTACATAAGATCAGCTATATGGATTCTGAATTGCTTGTTTTTGCTGTGTAGACCGTACCATTGAGTTTGCTGCATCTACTAACGGCAGAGAAGGCGGCTGGCATGGCGCTGGATATAATCCAAATTTTGAGAACGCTGACGAGTATCCTCCACGGCCGGAACATGTAGAAGCACCTTCTGCAAAAGAGATTGATTTGAGTAGGTTTTTCATCTACAACTCAATCATGATTTGTTTTCAGTTTTGTTTAGTAGCAGCATATTTGGTTTGTGCTTATGATTTGTTTTCATGTGTGCAGATGCTTCGGCTAACAAGAATAACAGAGAACAGTACACTGTCGAAGACAAGCGTAATATTTACGCTATGCTGCTTGCTCGAAATGGAGAGCGTGGAAGGTTAAAAAATGGGGTTTTGGATTCTGTTGTACGTGATGCAAATTGTTCTCGGGGGTGCGTGAGTAGGATTTGGAATGAAACGAAGACAGGAGGTGGCGTTAACTCTATCAAGAACAATTTGAAGTTAAAAACGGGAAGGAAGAAAATGAGTTTGGATATTGAGGCATTAGAAGCCATTCCACCTGGTGAGAGGACCACAATTCGACAAGTTGCTGCTGGACTTAACATGTCCAAAAGCACAGTTCACCGCAGGTATGAAAAAAAAAGAATTAGTTCTTACATTTCGATGATGACCGAAATCATGATCAACTTTTCTTGTTTCTGTCTAGGTTGAAGGAGAAGGTAATGAGACGAGTTTTAAATGAACTGAAACCTTCATTAACTGAAGCCAACAAGAAGGCACGTGTGGCGTATTGCCTTGAGAATTTGGAGCCAAGTTCATTGGAGGACAATCCCACTTTTAAAGCTAGTTTTAACAAGGTTCATTTGGATGAGAAGATCTTCTACCGCACAAGGAAGACACAGAAAATGTACTTGAGTCATAGAGAGGAAGCACCAAAAAGAGAATGCAAACATAAAAACCACATCCAGCAGATCATGTTCTTGTCGGCTATGGCAAGGCCAAGGTATGATTCTCAAGGAAATTGTGTGTTTGATGGAAAAATAGGTGTGTGGGCATTTGTTGATTGGGTGCAAGCTCAAAAGAAGAGTGCTAACAGGTAAACTACCATGATGTTTTTTAAGCATGATCTACATCAAGTGTGAAATTCGTTTGCTAAAGTAACATATTTTTTCTTTCAATGTAGAGGGAGAGGAGAATGGGAGCTCAAGCCTTCATCTTAGGTGGATAGGAACAAAAGTAGGGAGTAAATTGTGCAGTATGTACTGCCTGCTATAAAGGAAAAATGGCCTGAGAGTGATAGATGGAACACCGTGTACATTCAGCAAGACAATGCAAGAACTCATGTTTTAGCAAATGATCCCATTTTTGCAATGGAAGCGGCAAAGGGAGGTTGGGATATCAGAATTGTAAATCAACCACCAAATTCACATGACTGTAACATACTTGATCTTGGGTGGTTTGCCTCCATTCAATCTATGTTCCATAGGAAAATGCCCAAAACCCTTGCAGAGATTGTTCAGAAGGTAGCACTCCATTTTAGCTATGCAACTTCTTAATGTTTGTGAACAGCGACCTAACTTCATTTTTTTCAATTGTTCCATAGGTTAATGAAAGCCTTGCTCAGTACTCACATCGGAAGCTTAATAGAATCTGGTTAAGCCATCAAGCTTGTATGAGGGAAATTATTAAGAACAAGGGGTCGATGCACTATGATACACCTCACATGAAGAAAAAAACATTAGAGAGGCTAGGTCTACTGTCAGTCCGTCTGACGATTGATAAAGATTATGTTGACGCTGCCATTGAGTATTTGAACTCACCTTAGGAGGAACGAGTGTTTTAGTTTATCATTGGAACAATTGCACTTTGTTGTTTAATCGCAGCAACAAAACTCACGTGATCACAAGAATTGGTCGTGCTCACTATACAATGCCCGCCCATGACTGCACATTCTCAAAGCATGGTGTACAAATGTTGTGGTCATTTTAGATGAATACGTGAGACAAGTATTTTCAGTACTCCATACTCACAATATAAACGGAAATAACCATTGCAATATCCTCACAATATATAGATCACAAATAACAACTGCAATATTCATTCCATGATTCACATCAGGATTCATAATTCGAAAATAAATTCCAGTGCAACAAGATCATGATTCATAAAACACACACCATCTTCACACATCAAGAGACATGGCTATTTCTTCCTCAACATAAACCCTAATTCATCTCGATGTCAGCCACAAATGCATTCTCATCTTCGGCAACTGCAGTGGTGTTGCGACCGCAACGAGAACACACACCATCTTCACCTACTCCGACAATCGTCGTGCAGTCCTTGCACGAGTAGTCGTCACAGAGAAGTGGATTTCCACACACATCACAAGGTACCACGTCCATTGGCACCGGCAAGGAGCAAGCTAGACAACGGAATATCGAAGAATCACCTCGAACACCATAGTTACGGCACATTGCCGGGAACAAGCATCCATCACATGAAGATTCCAACGTAGTCCTCCGTCCAATCGCAAGATTGGTGTTGCGAATGTACCTTACCCTAGCCGAGAACCTTGAATCACCAGCTCCGACATTCGTTCCACGATCTACTTTCTGAAAAAGATCTTGAATGGTTGTGTAAATCCTCTCAAATTCATCCTCAAGTTCTTCCACCTCGCCTTGTGTGACTTCCACCTCGCCATCTGCCTCCTCCACCTCGTCATCTGCCTCCTCTACCTCAGCATCTGCCTCCCCCACCTCGGCACAGACCTCCTCCATGCCCTCCACGTCCATGATAGTTGGGGGGAGATGAGGCAATGAACTGAATGTGTGGGAAGAGGAGGAACATACGTTGCCATTTTATACAAGTTTCGGCATGCAAAACAGTAACCGTTTCACACTGCATTGTGGAAGAGGAAGATGAGAGGAAGTACTCCAACACACATTAGAATTGTGGTGCATGCAGCGTGGGAACAGGAGTAAGTGTTGTGGTGCATGCAGATTTAATGGAGTGGTTTCCCACGGTGAAAGAGGAGTGGATCAGCTTTCGCATGCAAACATTGATGGACTACTAGTGCCAAATTGAATACAAATGTGCCTAGAGGGTGAAAGATTTTGGGACAAATAGTTTTTGAGATTTTGCCTTGCGAACTGGGACGGAGGGAGTAGATAAGACCAAATCCCCTCTCTCCCAAAAAAAAAGAGAGCAAAAGGACAAATCTCTCGGCGGCGGAGGCGGTTTGATCTCATCGGCGGCGATCTACTCCTTCCTTCACCACCCGCCCTCTCCCTTTCTCTCTCCAGTTACAGGTAACGTCGTCCCTCTGATTCAACCGGTGGGGATTTGCCCCCTCCCCTCCCCTCCCATCTCCATGTGCACATCTTGTTCAGGGGTCTCGCTAATTCCTGCTGTTAATTATATATCAGATCTGATGCAGGAGCGGTCGATCCATCTGTGGCCATGTCGTCGGCCAACGCAACCTCTTGTGTTTATGGAGTAATTTGGATCTACGTATGCAGACACTATTTGTTCATCATATATGCTCTTTGGTGTGCAATTTTTTGCCAGGATTTGCCGTGCTTTTAGCTTCTAAAGGAATTTGTTATTCGACAATATAGATTGCCATGAAAAATGTTTGATTTTTCCATGCTCTCCCAGCCAACGTCAGCACAATAACGTTTTTCCAACTAAATAAGCCTTGCATTTTCGGATAGGGGGTGGGGGGTAAAACTTGCACTGCATATTTTATTCATTATACGTTTTACATTATAACAGCCAGTTTGGTAAAGTGTAGTACTCCCTCCATCCAAAAATATAAAAACGTTTTTGACACTAGCATAGTGTCAAAAACGTTCTTATATTCTGGGACAGAGGGAGTAATATAAAATACTTTATTTAGGGATCATTCTTAATCGTCATATACCTTCTAGTTTGCTCAAGCAACCTCAACTGCATTGTGCTTACACCTTAATTTCTCTACTCCATGCATGCAGTGACGGCTTTGCCAGACTGCACAAAGGGGATGATTTCACTTCTAGCCCATCATCAAATACTCTCCAGGAGTTCGGTGATGTTTGGCTTGCTGCCGCCGAGCGCCAGCTCAGCCTCAGCCCCAAGTCGCCGTCCCCTGAGGAGCTGACGGAACGCAGACAGGAGCGTAAGCGCAAGGGCTTGGTCATAGCGCTCAACACATATGCCAAGCGAAACAACATGCAGGCATGCAAAAAATCATAATCAGAGTATTTATGTTTGCTTGTGTTTTTGCTTAACCACCTTAAGTTGTGTTCGGGTTATTATATGGAACTAAACGGCTGTCGTAGTTCATTGTTTTAACTACTCAAGGTTGGCTAGAACATCACACCCTAATTAAGTGTTTTGCGGGTTATGGATGCAAATCATGCGATTTGCTGCTGACCGAATCTATTATACTAACATATGTCGTTTCTATTTCAGCTCACTGATTTAGAATTCGTGGAAGAGAAAGAGAGGAACCAAGTCTATGGACGTGGAGCACTATATGTGCATTCCAACTTTCTGGTGAAAGGTTCAGATGGCAAACCTACTATGTTCTTTGCTGAGATGCATCCTGACTGCACACAGGAAGAGGATGTTGTCTGCTGCACTCCTTTGGAAGAAACCGACTATGGTAACTATATGCTTGGGTGGAATCTCCATGCTTTTTCACTAGTCATCTATGTGCTAATATATACATTTTTTTTCCACACATAAACAAGGTCATTGTGTTGAGTGTGACGATCGAGCAAAGGAGCTTAGGCATCCCTCGGGCGGTGGCTACTTGGGTGGACATGATGAGATGATTTTTCACTTTGAGGAGCTGGACAGTGATGATGACTGTTTTATGTGAAAGGAATCTATATATCCAACACAGAACCACAAACTAATCTGTTTGGTCTTGGATGTGGATTTGTGGCTCTCGGGTGCCACACACCCCTATACGAATATAGTATAAAAAAATACCAGGAAATTTCAAAATAATCTGGGATTTGGGGATATCAAAATGGGTGTCATTCTACTCCCGTGTTTAGTTTCGTGAGGAATGGGTGCCCTTGGTATTCTTGGTAAAAAAGTCAAAAAAAAATTCTCTGTGTAGAAAAAAACTGTTTGGATGGATCGTATGTTGGACCGTATTTTCGTCGCCATGAATACCACGGGCATCCATTCCTCATGAAACTAAATGCAGGGGTAAAATGGGCAACCATGTTTGATATCACCAAATCACAGATTTTTTTTGAAATTTCTGGTATTTTTTTAATACTATATTCATATAGGGGTTTGTGGCATCTGAGAGCTAGCTCTCATGCATTTCCCGTTTGGTCTTTGTCTACTATATGGTTCAGGTGTATGGCGATAAGTTCTTTTTAGAGTGTGGCAAGAGGTGATGCATGTGACATGCAGGGTGTAAAGGAAGGAACCGAAGCATATGTATCTTTAATATTAACTGAAATTATGCCTGAATCGGTGCAATAAGTTATTGTAACTGAACGAGTGTAGGATGATGTGTCATAAGGAGCTCCTGATTTGTGTTTATACATGGGTTGGGACTTGCGGTATTTCAGTTTTTACTTGGTGGCCATATTCTCCTCTTTTTACTTGGTGCGACCATGAAGAGAGAGATAACATGGACATATTATCAACTTGGTAGGGATTATAGCCATTCAAGAAAAAAAGTTTGTAGGGCTTAATGCTGCTACATTTTTGTAAGTTGTAACGCTTGACGGTCTTGGGTTCAAGCATCTCTTTCTTTGTAATTTGTGTATCATCTCGTCCACTGCAAACATCTATCGCTTGACGGTCTTGGGTTCAAGCATCTCTTTCTTTGTAATTTGTGTATCATCTCGTCCACTGCAAACATCTATTTATAATTTTATGAAAAGAAAGAGATACAGAGGAGTTTGGGCGACAAGTGAAAGAGGATTATAGTCAAAATGATCCTAACATATTGAGTATCTGAGCAATCTTCACCTGGCATTTGCTCAAAACAAAACGCTGAGGAGCTTCATTTGTCCATAAGAGTCAACCGTCATGCAAGTCAGGTTAGGGTATTAATTCAGAAACTCATGTTCTGAAATCTATGAACGGGGCCTCGGCCATTCTCATACCTTTTTCTTTTGAAAAAGAAGTAATCCTTCCGCAGAATATATGATGTAGCTTTTGCACTCTGTATGTTACCTTCAAAAACATTTTTCTTTCAATTCGGTGAGAAGGCGAATTGCTTTTGAAGACACAAATGTACAGTTCAGTGAGGAGTATCATGCCATGTAAACGGCTGAAACCTTCAAAAACATACTCGCTGCGCTATTCATCAATCAAAAACGATATATGATAGACATGGCTCACGTCTCTATTCATTGATCAAAAACAGTATATCATACACATGTACGGCAACCAACATCATGGAAAGCATGATGATTGCTACTATAAGCCCAACTAACTGACTACTTGTCGTACTATGTGTTTTTCCACGCTCCACAAATATGTAGGACGCCGATATCTATACCTGGCCATTCCTCGGGCCGGGCCAACCAAAGCCCGACGCAAAAAACCCAGGCCCGAGCCCGGCCCGGCCCGGTCGTCGGGCCTAAAAATCGGGCCCGAGCCCGGCCCATCACACTAAAAGCCCGTCGGGCCTCGGGCCACGGGCCGGGCCTCTTCCTTAAATGGCGAAATCGACGGGCCTGGGCCCGGCCCGGGCTTCGGGCTCAAAACCTAGGCCCGAGCCCGGCCCATGGACAAGGTCGGGCCGGGCCGGGCTGACCGGGCCGGGCTGCCCATGGCTAGGTATACCGATATCAAACAACGTGGTGCGGGACGTGTGAGTAAACTCTCCAATGCCCACACATTAGCCCCGTCCTACGTGGCATGCAAATTCTGCCTCAATGTGTCAAGATTTGTGAAAAATGCACTGGACGATGATCCACGCATATGGGCGAGTTACAAAACTGACACACGTGTGGACGTTAGTATTTCCGATTTTTTTACAACGAACTCCTATATTATGCGCATGCATTTTCCCATCATGCATATTCCTGCGTTTTTTCGTGTTCCTACCTTTAAGTGGTCTCTTTGACTCGGGGAAATACAAAAGGCGCATAAATAAGTGTCATGAACTCTTGTATCCTATAGGATTACAAAACTACAGAAGTTTATGGCTCATTTGACTCGAAGAAATTTCAAAGGAACTTTGGAGGATTTTGATTCTTAAGATATTTTTTTCTATGTTGGTTGTTTAATTCACGTGGTCAGAATCCAGAGGAACTTTTCCTTAAGATTCGTTTGTACCATGTTTTGGAGAAAATTTTCTATTCACTCAAACCACTTAGTATAAATACTTTGATTTTCTATGTATTAAACACCCTTTCATCCGAATTCTCATAGTTGTCTAATCCTAGAGGATTCAAGAGGACATGACACTACAATCCTATGTTTTGAAAATCCTACGAATCAAAGAGGCCCTTAGAAGGAAGAGTGTTTGATAGCACAAGAAAAACAAAGTTAACTTTCCTCCAAAACAAAGGAATTCTGCCAAGGAATTCCTATGAAAAAAGCCACAAAGATTCCAATCCTCCAAATCAAACAACCATCTAGGAAAATTTCATAAGCGTCCAAATCCTATGAAATACATTCGAATCAAAGGAGCCCTTAAAATCACATGAACCAAAGAGGCACTAAGTTTTTTTAGGGATAGAGGCAATCCTTCTTTTAGAACTACGCCAAGCTAAACTTTTAGAGCAAACCTCGTACATTCCTTAAAACCAACTCTATCTCCTAAAAGTTTAGAAGGGCACTTTCAAAAAGACTAGCCTTTATATTTAGAGCTTGGGGAGGGAATTTACAGTGCACTCTATCACCGACTTCTGCCCCCAAGCCCAAGCAATCCCACCCAGTGCCAGTCGTATGCGAATCTCTTTCATATGTTTTCACACCCTCTTGTGCTTATATAAGCCATCGCTCGCCCCCGCCCGCACCATCCCCCGCTGCCCCTGTCATGCGATCGAGCCCATGAGGAGGGAAGCGGTATATCCCGCTAGTTTAACCTCACGATGAAGAAGGCATTGGTGTCGGGCTCCACACCCCGCATTGCAGTGTCGTCCGCCCTCAAAGATGACAGGGAGCCGCCTAGGCCAGGCGGGCCGTCACCGCTGCCATTGCGAATGCCGAGGAAGAGGACGAGTCCTCCCACTTTGAGATGGAGAATGCCTCCTCGAAAGATGATATGCCACCACCGAGGCAGACCGGGTGCGCCCACTCTAGGTGGTGCTCGAGGCATCCACCACTGACCCCTGTGGTGACTTTGCACATTGTAAATGGCCTCCTTTGGTTTGGAGGAATTTCATAGGAATTCTAGAAGATATGATTCTTATAGGATTTCTTCCTTTAGAGCCATTTGGTTCATAGGAATGGATTCCTATTCCTTCATAGGATTGGTTCCTATCCTTCACATTTCATAGGAAAATAAAAATGAGCCTAGACTCAATGAAAAAATTCCTTTGGTGTCAACCAAATGACATCTTGTTTCCTATTTCTACTCATAGAATTTGAGATACATATCATCTCATTTCCTATAAGATTCTTATTCCTACGATAATCCTATTCTATGAACCAAAAGAGGCCTAAAACAGTTTGAAAGGATCGATCTCTTGTGAGAGAACCTTTTAGAATTGGGACATGAACCCGCCCATATCAGGTGTATATACACCCATGAACCAAAGGGCCTTTTCTGTTAGAATTGCTCTTACATATACTCCCTCCGTCCAGAATTACTCGTCGGAGAAATAGATAAAAGTGGATGTATCTAAAACTAAGATACATCTAGATACATTCATTCTTCCAACAGTATTTTCGGACGGAGGGAGTACATGGATTCCTCTGGCCGTGCAAAAAAAAAACCTATCCGGAGTCCGGATAGGTTTGAGTATGGTACGGTACGACATAGAGGGTGCTTGGATCCAAGGGACTTTTTTTAGTCTGACTAAAAATAGTCTCTTTTAGAGGTTAAAGTTCCAAGCACCCCTGACTAAAGAGAGGCTAAGACTAGTCTTGAGGCTAAATTTTTTTAGTCATAGGAAACCTACTAAAATATGTATTAGCCCTCTCTCTCCTCATTTAATTCCTCTCCTTTAACACATGCGAGTTCTGGATTGGAGGGTTTGAAGGATAATAAATGCTCAATAACTTGATTTTAGTCTCTTTAGTATTTAGATCCAAGCATGGGTGAGGCTAGCAAATTTTAGTCCCACTACTTTTAGTCATGGGACTAAAACGTATCCAAACACCCTCGTAGCCACTAGTCACTCTCTCACTCTATGTCTCTCTTTTGTATATCGAGCTCAGCAGCTGGTGCATCCGTCAGACTCTTTCTTGTGCGGGCGGACGTTGTATAGATCGAGCAGATAGCAGCCGAATCGGGAATGGATCGACGTGTTGTGGATCGGCGAACACTGGCAGCAGGGGTAGAATTAGGATCCAGTAATTCCCAATCAGTCGACGGAAAGAGGAGCTGGGGTAGCTAGGTTCGCGCGTGGGGTCTGGACTGGACTCGCTCGATCTGCAGCTCGCAAGTCTACACACGGACGACCCATGGGGTGGGATGGGATGGGATGGGATGGATGGATGGATCCACGCGCCGGAGCGAGCGCAAAGCCAGAAATTAAAGGGCTCGTGGAGGGAGAAGCATATATACGTACGTACCAGTCCGGGCGGCCGGCCGGGGAGCGCCGTGCCTCCTCCTGATCCGTCTGGCCGGCGGCATATATGTCGGTAGATTATCTGAGATTAGCAAGGGCCCGGCCGGAGATCCACCCAGAGAGACCCCGTCTAGCGCGAAGTCCTTCATCCCTGTCTGTC